GATAAAGACAAATTAGTTTTTATTATAGAAATACCATTAATAGAAAAAAAACTTATAACTATAGAAGATTATTCCCATTTATAAACCTATTAGTGAATGGTTTCAAATACAGAAACGTAGTATACGTTGTACCCAAATATAAATATACCCATGTACCCAAATATAACCAAACAAACACTTATGTTCGGAGGAAAATATGGCACCAGTTGATGAAGAAACATGTGTTGAGAAAATAATGCTTATTAAAAATAACTTCATTAATTGCCATCAACATCAAATAAAAACAGAGAAGCTGAAAATACAGAAAATTACTTTTGGCCACTGGATACTCCATGCAGAAGACGATGTTATACTAACGGACCAGTGCAAAGATGATACCCACAGATTTAATCTACACGGGACATACATCTAGACGGCGAGCATAGGTTGCAGCATACAAATGGGAAAAATAACCATTGGCCTATCGAGCAATATGTCTGAAGCCAGTCTACAGATACCACTTGTGAAGAATCCGGAGGTGCAGTACGACGTGACGAAATAAGAAAAGAAGTTGGACTTAATAAACGTGGATTTCAGTGACGTAAAAGAAATTATGAATAGTGCTAGAAATAGTAATAGTGAAATTGTGGTGGAAACCATAGTGACTAATAAAATAAGTATATGTACTTATAGTCTTTATGTTGTGTCATTGGTAATTACAATTTTTATTGTACTTAAATGGAAATTTCATAGTTTAAGTCAGAGAAAAAATTCTCCAAAGTCAACTTAAGTTAACAACGTAAGTTTTCTCTTGGGGAGGAAGAGGTTAAGTTTGATAACCCCTCAAATATCTGCTTTACAAGGACTCCTAAGAATTGGGCCGGATCGTTTAGTAACATATATTTTAATATAAATAATAGGTTAAGTCAACTGTATGATAGATATTAGTTTTGGAAGTAATTATAAGGTGTAACGCTTCTACTTTTTATAAATATTTTTTTAAAGAAAATCCTTGTTGTCAACATAATTCATACGCGTGCGCGTCATACCTCTGCAACTGCACTAAGGTCGTGACCTCGCCGCATCACTCAGCTATTATCACTTTAGTAGTCGATTAACACAACTTTTAAAAATTTATTTTGACCGATTGGGGTAATTATGCACAAACACTAAATTATCACTATGTCTACTTGACGACCACGAAGATGTTGTTCAATATGTCCACCCTGTACCTCTAGTCTATACATTTGAGACACCGCCTTACAATATCTGAACACATGCATTGCGTTACAGATATTTCAGATTTAATTTTTTCAAAGGATGCGACTATCCTACGCATATGCATTTCCGCATCGGTATCGCATGTTTTTTTGGAATACAGACTGCTTAATCGTATCCCAGAGTTAAAAATTTAAAGGTCTAAAGGTAAAATCACATGATCGCGCCAGCCAGTTGACCGGTCCACCACGACCAATCCACCTTTCACCGAACGCAGTATGCAATAATTTCTTACACAAAGGGAGAAATGCGGTGGTGCCCCATCGTGTTGAAACCACATGCGACATACGTGGCCTAGATTTATTTCGTCAAGTTTATCGTTTAGTTCTCGCAAAAAGCGTCCGTAGTTTTCACCGCTCATTGTGTGGCCAAGAAAATACAGATCAATAATTTTGTCACCTATGATATCCGCACACACATTGATTTTCCATCGGTGTTGAAAGTGGCTTGGTTTGTAAGAATGCAGATTTTTCGTTGACCATGACATTCATTATGAACGTTAAATACACCTGTTCTAACAAAAGAGCATTCATCCGCAAAAAGTACGCGGCTCAAAAACTCAGGATCTCCTTCAACCTTATCAAGTAACCATCTACAGTAATCCATTCTCAGCTCGTAGTCGTTGGGAAGAAGACATTGAACTCGACGATAATGATACGGGTGCTTTTTTTATAGGAGAGGGGCAAACGAGCATACGGCTCACCTGATGGTAAGTTGTTATCGCCGCCCATAAACAGCTTCACCAGGCAGGCAGGGGCATTGCAGATGCGTTGCCGGACTTTTAAAAAGGAATAGGCTCCTTTCTTGAAGGTCCTTAAGTCGTATTGGTCCGGAAAAATCACCGGTGATAAACTATTCCACAGAGAGGTTGTACGTGGAAGAAAACTCCTTTTGAAACGTACAGTGGTGGACCGACAAGCATCCAGATGGTGTAGGATGGTTGTCGGTCGCGAAATTTGGCGGCTGGGATTAATCCGAACAATTCCTCAGAACACTATTCATGGTATATGCGAAAGAAAATGGAAAGGGATGCAACATCTCTTCGCAATGCCAGTGGATCGAGTCGATCGGAAAGCACTCGGTCGTCGACGATTCGAGCCGCTCTGCGCTGGATGCGGTCAAGTGGAAGGAGTTGGTACTGGGGAGCCCCAGCCCAGAGATGGGAACCGTATTCCATGTGCGGCCGAACCTGCGCCTCGTAAAGTTGCAGGCGGTGAGCCGGCATGAAATACTGTCCCACTCCGCTGAGCACGCCAAGCTTTTTACATGCCAATTTGGCCTTCTCTTCCAAGTAACCACAAAACTGCACGTCACTCGATATGTCGACGCCAAGGATTCCGATACTGGCTGAGGCAACAAGGAAAGTGCCTTGAAACTGAGGAGATACGACGAAGGGGTTCTTTTAAGCGGTAAACGCGCAAACTTGTGTCTTCGGGGGATTAAACTCGACTAGATTTAGTCGCCCCCAGTCCGAGATTTTGTTCAACAAAGTCTTGACTTCAGACACAAGTTTGTCCCGGTTTGTGCTGGCCATCATCTTTGAAGGCTCTCCATAGGCGCACATTTTTCGCATCTAGTTTATGTGCCACCGAGCGGGTGCTCTACAACGTAATTTTGATATTTTCTGATGTAATTTTTTTTAATAAGGCAGAGCCCGTAAGTGTTTTTAAGAAATCAAAATATAGCTAGGATTAGTAAAAATACATTAAATCACTTCAATAACAAGAAAAAAAAATAAAAATTGTGGGATAAATCCATACAATAACATATGCTTAAACTGTTACACTGCTGTGTTTTTCAGAATCTACTAATTAGCATTTTTTACCAATCGTCGACAAAAATTACTTATTTTTATTTCTATTCTTGACTACTGAACTGTGGCCAAATTTTAGTTTATAAAATTTTCCATGTTTTAAAATATTACTATTAAAGAAAATAATAGATATTGGATCAAAATAAATTAGTCGGCATATAGTGGACGCTACCTTTGATCACTTGAAGAGTAGGGTTTTTTTTTTGGGTATTTCTATACCTAAGTCGTTCATCGGCTAACGGTTTTGAGTTTGAAGGGCGCGCGGAACGCCGCATATTTTACAGCAATTTTGTTTTATTTATTACATTCTCGAAATAAACAATAATATTGTTGCGCGTCATAATTAATGCCATCAACGCCATCTAATTTCGAGTAGCATTACTAGAACATTCTAAACCTAGTCAGTCAGGATCGGTATTTGCTCGAATATTTTAGATGTTTTACTGGAAAAGGCCCTATATATGACCAGAAAGGACCGCGACCGTATCATTATTGAATTGGTGAATCAAGCGATTACTTCTAAGCGATATGACTGCGAACTAAAGTGTCAATTTTGGTAATTCTATTGGCAGTTTTTATTATCACGTACCCCAAGCTCGTAACAATATGAATTTATTTTTAAAAAATAACTCCTGTCACATATTCTTTATCGAATAAAATTTTATATGAAAAATACATACCAAATTTCTACTACAAATAGTAGCGAATTTCCAATTGTTCAATATATTTTATGATTGAAACAAACTTTTCCTACTTTAATGTATGGTATTAATTATGTGTGGCAGAAATAGCACGAGATTAGAATAAATGCTGTAGAAATGCGGTCATTACGGAGCATGGAGGTTACATAACAGGAGAACGATCACTACGTTTTAAAGCATAGCCCACCTGTCCCTGAAAATTTGTAGAATTTATAGCCGCGCTGCCGTCGGTAAGTACCTAGTGTCTGCGAAGTAATTTTTTAATTATTGACAAAAAGAAACATTATATAATGGTGAAATATTGTTAAAAATAATAATAATAATAAATCAATAATAATTAATAATTTATATTTGTAATATTTATAATAATTGAAATTATAAAAACATAATTTATAATTTATTTATCAATAAATAATAATAATAATAAATAATGATTTTTTCTTTAAATGATATTACAATCATTTCAAACTAACGCACAACAGCCCGCTTTTATTGAGACAACTTAACGATCGCAGCGCCTCACTTATTTTGTACATATTTCTGGGACACTATTATCTACAGCGATCGTTCTCCTGTTCTCGAACCTCCATGTTATGAAGTATGATAGGACTGAATCTGAATGACATGGTGAAAAATTGTATGATAATAGAAGAATGTGGTTTGCAAGATGATATGACCAGGATTTAGAAAGGAATGCTTCGGTGGCTTGGTCATGTAGAAAGAATTAACGAAGAGTTGTAGAAGTGAACAGCAGAGTCGGGAAGGGACGTCCTAGGCGAAAGTTTATCGGCCAAATTGGCGATATAAATAATAAAAATGGGCCAAATTAAGACTATCCTTAACCGACGAGAGTTTTCAATAAGCGTGACAGCTATGGCAAATAATTAAGAAATTAAATATTACCTAGGATTAGTAAAAATACATAACACAATAATAACAAGAAAAAAAATTGTGGATAATGATTAATTTTTACCACACGAACATATACTTAAACTGTTTTGCTGCTGTATTTTTCAAAATCTACTAATTAGCATTTTATATCGACCGTCGACAAACTATTTATTTTTATTTCTCTTCTTGACTACTGAATTGTAACAACATTTTATGTTTATGATTAAAATCAGTTGCTTATAAATAATATTCCCCCTACAAAACACTCTGTGGGGCGGGTTATGTCCAGCAGTGGAGTTTTAATATGCTGTTTATTAACAGTAATCTCATAAACTCACGTAGGAAATAGTCACGATGTATGACGATCTTGGAAACGGTTCTCTCTTGATGTTCGTATTCTTCATCTAGTGACGTGGTGTCCCATTCCCCAGCGCGGATCTTCAACTGTGTGGAACAGACATTAACGTATGCCTAATTATTAAAGTATATAGCATTTTTTAGAATAAAAGTGACAAACGAGCACACAGTCCACCTGATGGTAAGTGGATGCTATGGCCCATAGACATCTACATTTATCTTCGATTAAGAATCAAAATGCAGATGCGGTATCACCCCTTAGGACTAAGATAGAATGCCTCGTTTCCAGTAAAAAGTAGGTTTTTACTTTAGTTGCGCCAAAACGCATTTGTGTAGACTATGTTAGCTGGTATCCTTCCCTATCACTCCATCTCCTTTCCGGCACAGGTACACCCCCTACAACATTTCACACATTTCGCACATTCCCTACAACAGCTCACGCTCCTAAATGCACCAGCTAATATAGTAGATTAGGTCCGAACTAGTGCATTGTCCAAAGACCGGCCACTTGCCACTTCCGCCATCTTGCATTGGCTATAGAGAACCACGCATACAGTCCACATAGTAACATCTCGCATAATAAGGTCAAGGCCCGACCCGAGAATCGAACCCGAGACACCAATGATCGTATCATTTTTGGTCATTAGCACGACCATATTCTTATAAAACTTTCAATTTTATCTCTTTCATGACGTCAGCATAACAATGGGGTACGTTATCTATTAAATATTTCCAATAAAACAAATTAATAAGCACATGTATCGAAAGTAGTGTCATATAATAATAATTAGAGATGGGCCGAATATGGATTTCACCGAATACGAATATTCGGCTGAAAGTTCGGTAAAACTTTCATCGAACCGAATATTCAGCATGATCACCTCGGTACCTAACCAATTTATGTGGAAACTTGTTACAGTAAAGCGCGCATGATTAGCGCCGTACCCTGTCCCTCGCTACCCCGCCACACCTGACGGTTATTGCATTATCTAATACTGTGAAAATTGCCGGCACGTGCTTGTTTTGACTATTTTTGTGAGAAAAAAAGTATTTCGTTGTGTATTCCTAGTGAAAATTGAACTTATATTATAAAAATGAGTGGCGGGAGATTTACTATTTGAACTAATTTTAGAAAAACTGACGACCAAAGTAATGTGAAATGTACTAATGTAATATGTTTCTTTTTTTGATTCCAAAAACATTTAATTAAGCTTTCTATTTGCTATAATTGGAAATAAATCTACAGTGTCTCAAAAACACTATGTAAGTTTAACATACAAGTTTAACATACAAGATTTAACACACAAACAAAATATACATTCAACAGTAAAATTATGAAAGACATGGCATTACGCAATTCGTAAATTTCAATACAGTGGACACATTTAGTACCACTAAACGAGAGTTCGGAGATTTATTCGAACATGGCGAATACCGAATATGAAACGAACATTCGGCTACAGAGATTCGGAGACATACGAGACTAGTCAGATGGCTAGTCTCCGTAGAGGAATGAAGAAGCGATTGAGCGGAACCAGGGCTCCAAAGTCTTTGCCAAAGATCTGTCTGCCAGAAAGAGCCAACTGTCAAAGCTGAAGACTGAGTGTGGCAGCATCGTTTCCGCGACACCTGAGATTTCGAGTGAGATTGAGAGGTTCTATTTGCAGCTTTACACATCATCGTTGGAGCCACACGCAAGTGTGAGTAACAATCCAAGAGCAAGTCTTATCAGACACTATTCTGATAATATCCCGGACGTCAGTCTGAGCGAGATTGGAATAGCTCTCCAGCACCATCGGCCCATCTCTCTGCGCAGGACAGGATTATAGCGTCCAAGTGTATGCGCAACACAGGTGCACTCTCTCTTCCCACACTCTCATAATCCGATGGGACGGTAAACCGACACGACCGGAGAGAGATCATTCGCAGGACCAACGGTTTTACGTGCTTTTCAACTCCAAAGTGCTGGTCAACTTCCTGACTCCGGGCAGCTACTAAGACTTTCTTATAGAAAAACCAAAGAACTGATTTTGGCCCGACCCGGGGTTCAAACATGAGACTTCTTGATCAGCAATCGTGTTTACGACCCCTAGACCAACGAGGTATCACAAAGAACGAGATTAGCACCCACCATTTTTGTTTTCACTTACCTTTCTTTTTAATTTCGCACCGTCTATGCGGGGTTATAGTTTATTCAAATAACTTCGCTCCGATTCGGACGAACGTTCGGAACTTTTAGAGTCGGTATAACGTAATGAAAACTTAAATCAAAATTTAAAAAACCCGCCAAACAAAAGAGCTGAAGATCTTCGAACGGCTAAACAGATTGTCTTGACACCTTTCAAACGAAACGACATACACACACACACACACACACGAACATATATATATATATATATATATATATATATATATATAGTATACACACACACACACACACACACACACACACACCCCCCCCCACACACTCAGATACACACTACAAACATTTAACACCGTTTTGTTGTGTCGGGGATTAAAACTATAGCTTGCTGCGCCTAATGGAATTATTTCCTCAAAACAACTTACGTCTTCAGGCTTTCTGCCTGCAACTTTATGTGCCGTGGTCATCACCACGGATGGATGGATGAGCGAACCTCCTCCAATATAGTTGCTTTTTTCCCATTCTTCCTCCGCTTGTTTTCTTCTGAAAATAATTCATGTGGATATTAGAAGGATTCACTACACCTTGTGGGAGACAGAAATATATAATTATATAGTTAATAGAGTCCGGCGTTATTTTGCAGATATGCATTATATTAAAGGTGTTACAAATAAATTTACTCAAATCCGCGTAATAAAACAAAATTATGTGTCTTACCCAGTTTCGAATCAAAATGTAGATGCGTTGTCACCTCTGAGGACCATGATGGTATACCTCGTTACCAGTGAAAAGGGGCTCCGGTGCTCTAAGCTTACCATACGAAACACAGCAGTATTTAGCTGTTATTTTATGCCGGTGTTCTGTGTGAGCGTGTCTTACCCCAGTCGAGCGGACCCACTCGTGCTGCAGCCATTATGTAGCGACAGCATGGCTCTACGACGTATACCACGTATAAGATGAGTTTGACCTCTTTTCTGCCTAACAATTCGTCTAGGTAACTACCATCTTTTTACCAACTTTTGCCGCCAAATAAGAGTGCTTGTATTGCTGTGTTATGGTGTTAAGTGTATATAGAGCTATTACAACTACAGGCTGTGGTGCATTCCATCTAAGTTCTCAGGGGTTACAACGTAGCCTTTTTTAGTCCAACGCGTCTGTAGCCTTTTTAGTTTAACGCACCCGTAGACTTTTTTTAGTTGAACGCATCTGTAGCCGTTTTTAGTTCAACGCATCTGTAGTTTGTTGCAGGTGTACATGGAGTGGCCACTTACCATCAGGTGGACTGTAACTGTAATTGATTGGCAACAGCATCACGTCATCGTTTGTTCTCGAGATATGCAACACCTTCTCATACAACAAAACGTGGTGAAGTCACACTGCAGTTATCGGGTCTGGCTTGGGTCGGGTTGGCCGAAGAACGATGCTCACCCAAAACACCAGCGTAAAATAGCAGTATGGTATAGTAAAGCTGTTATGTGTTTGAAGATGCCTCCTTATCTTAGTTGGATATCTAAAAAGAAATTCTATTGATTGAATTGCATGATAAGCTTTGTTTTCCTTTCTTTTAAACCTTACCGCACTGGTATTCTCCCCACTTACCCGCTAGGGTAACACATCATATACTGTTATCACTCTAGTATGTATACTGGTGGGATGTAGTAAGGTGTTCTGTCTTGAAATTTTAAACAGCCCGGAGTCAGCAATCTGGGGGTTTTAACCCCCATGTCGTGGTAAGTACGTTATGCCATTAATTCTGCGCCTGATTTCTCTCTGGTCGTGTCCAACTGCCGTTTCATCGTACTACACTCTTACACAAGTGCACAGTATATTTTAGAGTCGAGGGTAAGTTTGACTGCGACGGCACTATAATGCTGTCCTGTTTAGACGGCTAGTTTCCGTTGAGACAGTCCCTCTAACCGCAAATCCTTTTTAGTTGTAATAAGGTTCATTCCATCTTAGTCGTCAGAGTTGAGAGCATATTTTGATTCCTATTCTTATCAGTGAATTGTGAGCTTGTTGTTCATCTTTACTTGTTAAATAAAAGAAATTGATTCGCTTCTCATAACAAAATGCAAAACGAAAGTTCTTCTTTTTTCAAATCGAGGACAACACGGTAGTGCAAAAAAGATAGAACCGTAAAAAAATATTTACTTGAGCACGGCTACCATCCATGGAAAATCGCCGAAGTCAGCGTAGATTTTTTCCCCATCACTCCGGGGGTGAACACGTTCACACCAGGATTGCTCCAACCACATTCGTTCGCTTTCGGCGTCTCACCGCTGCGAACTACTTCATTTTCTAATATGGTCCGTTTTAATGAGGTGCGGTCATCTTTACGGGGTTCTTGTAGAACCTGGCTACGTAGACAACATACCTCGAGGAATTTCTGACAATCTTCCCCAGATCTGAAAACATCGATAATATGTGAATATTCCATTCCAATATTCCATGAAAAGTCGAACTCAAAACTTTTTATCTAATTAAGGCGTTCTTCATGCTCCTATAAACCTCAAAATCTTCAACGATTAGTAAAAAAGAAGACGTTCTTAAAGAAGAAGCACAACGAACTCTGGGAGTCTTTTTATAAATCATTATCATCATTACAGCCTCTCACAAGTCTACTGCTGAACATATGCCATCCCCAAGGAAAGCCATAAAGCACGGTCACAGCCACCTGCATCAATGGACTTCCTGATCTCTTAGCGGGTCATCAAACTATGTAATGCGGGGACGCCCTAGACTTCGTCTATCGGTACAAGACTACCACCCGAGAACCTTTCTTTCCCATCAGTTATTGGTTCTTCGAACTATTACTTGGCTCTCAGAACACGTATCACAAATTATGTGTCATACTCTACTTTATGTCATTTTAATAAAAATGATGGTATGGTGACTTCCGTTAAGAATGATATGGCTGTTAATGTTAAGGAAATTGTACTTCAAAGTGCCTCGTGTCTTCAAATCGAAATATAATCAGTTATAATTTTGGTTATTTATAGATCACCTGATACAAATACCAGGGATAATAGTTTTTGATATGATACTCAAACTTGTGCACGATAAACTAGCCCAGGTTGCAGTTTTCAACACAACAATAACCGATTATACTATGGTATTGCTACACATAATTGATGTTAAACCTCAATTAGTATATAACAAAAATAAATCTGTCGTGGATTTTCAAAAAGCTTTAATCGATTTAAAAAATAAAGACACATATAAATCGCTCTTAAATAATGATCTGAATGTATTAACTGAATTATTGTTAGGAAAATTAATGCAATCTTTAAAAGACGTGTAATTAAGCCTTGGATGACTCCGTTGGTTGTAAGGTTGGTTAGGTGTGCTACGTTGTCAGGCACCTACAGCAAAATCCCAACAATGAGATTCTTAGAATTTCTTACCGAAGATACCGAAATTATTGTAAAAATCTGGTTAGAAATTTGAAAGGAAAACATGAAAGGAGGCTCCTGGAAGTTTCAGTGGTTGATTCTATGAATCTTTGGGAAAATGTTGCTAAGGTAATATATAGAAAACACTCTATAACGGATAATACAAAGTTACAGCGAATTGGGCCTTGCGCAGGAGATTCCGTCGATACAACTAATAGCTACTTTAGTTGTGTGGGTAAAAATTTTGCCCGTTGCGATTGTCCAGCCAAACAAGAAAAAATTTATGCACAATATTTGTACAAATTCTCAGACATCATTTTTTTGCTCCCTATAATACAGATATGAAAAAAAATACACTATTCTGATGGCCTTAAAATCTAACAAGTACCAGGCTGGGATAACGTGGGGTACTGTAGTTTCTTAAAACTTGCTATAAATTGTGCCAGTTCTCTGTCTTTTAGTAAATCTTTGTTTTCGAAAAGATATATTTCCGTGTTTGCTAAGGGAGTCCCTAGTAACACCAGTTCATAAGAATAGAGATGAGAATAATATCAACAACTACACACCAATTACGGTATTGCCGTCAATGTCATTTTTGAGATTGCCGACAATACCGTAATTTCTAATTTTTTAGAAAACTTATCACCAAGAGGATCATCAGTTTCCTCAATAAGTTTCACATCTTATCCAGTTCAAAATTTGGCTTTGAATCAGGAAATTCGACTGAAGACGCTGTAGAAGCCCTAACATCTGTAGTTGTTGATAATCTTGTTGAATAAAACTAAATTTACGGATTTTATCGCGTTTATTTCACTACTTTTACTTTTTTTTTTAATTCCCGACGTTTCGGGTGCTTTACAGCAACCATGGTCACGGGGGGGGACTGAGATGTTTGACGTCCCAATGTCATAGTTAGTCCGGCTACCTTCAGTTTTTGAATATTAATTTTTGGTCCGATTTACGCAAAACGAGCTTATAGTATCACGAAATCTTGCAGTGGTATGCTTAGGTTTGGGTTTAATTTTGTTAATTATAGGATCCCAAGCAGGTGGCAGCACCCATCCATCTTCTCTATTGAAATTTGGATGTTTTTAATTTCAATAGCCTCGCGTATCATCCTTGGTAGGAATCGGTGTTCTTTTGCGAGAATTTGTGGTTTATCAAAACGAATGTAACGGTGGGGACGATCGTGAACATGTTCGCAGACTGCAGACTTCCCGGAGCGTCGGTGCTTCACGTCAGCTATATGTTCTTTCACGCGGGTTTTTATGGATCTTTTTGTTTGACCTATGTAAGAGAGACCACATTCACAATCTAACTTGTACACTCCTGCATCTTGTAGAGGGATATTACACTCGACGGATGGTAAAAATTGACTAATCTTCTTCGGCGGCTTGTAGTATGTTTTAATAGAAGCTCGCTTCGAGATGTAGCCAACCTTGTCTGTGATTCCTCTGACATATGGTAGTACAGCAGGTACACGCTCGACTGTGGCCGGCTTCACTCGGTCACTGTGACGTAGGCGCGGGACCCGAAGCTTGTTGTCTTGCAATACTTGCTTGACATGCTGAAGTTCGGCGGCCAGATGTTTTCACAGTTAGCTACCGTGGGTAAATCTTTGTTTCAGAGAGCACGAGGGATCTGTGACAGAAAACATCTGGCCGCCGAACTTCAGCATGTCAAGCAAGTATTGCAAGACAACAAGCTTCGGGTCCCGCGCCTACGTCACAGTGACCGAGTGAAGCCGGCCACAGTCGAGCGTGTACCTGCTGTAGTACCATATGTCAGAGGAATCACAGACAAGGTTGGCTACATCTTGAAGCGAGCTTCTATTAAAACATACTACAAGCCGCCGAAGAAGATTAGTCAATTTTTACCATCCGTCAAGTGTAATATCCCTCTACAAGATGCAGGAGTGTACAAGTTAGATTGTGAATGTGGTCTCTCTTATATAGGTCAAACAAAAAGATCCATAAAAACCCGCGTGAAAGAATATATAGCTGACGTGAAGCACCGACGCTCCGGGAAGTCTGCAGTCTGCGAACATGTTCAAGATCGTCCCCACCATTACATTCGTTTTGATAAACCACAAATTCTCGCAAAAGAACACCGATTCCTACCAAGGATGATACGCGAGGCTATTGAAATTAAAAAACATCCAAATTTCAATAGAGAAGATGGATGGGTGCTGCCACCTGCTTGGGATCCTATAATTAAAAAAATAAACCCAAACCTAAGCATACCACTGCAAGACTTCATGATACTATAAGCTCGTTTTGCGTAAATCGGACCAAAAATTAATATTCAAAAACTGAAGGTAGCCGGACTAACTATGACATTGGGACGTCAAACATCTCAGTCCCCCCCCGTGACCATGGTTGCTGTAAAGCACCCGAAACGTCGGGAATTAAAAAAAAAAGTAAAAGTAGTGAAATAAACGCGATAAAATCCGTAAATTTAGTTTTATTCAATGTGTAGTGTTCGCGTAAATTTAAGAAATCATTATGTTGATAATCTTGACAAAAATTCGAACTGCCTGGCGGTGTTTCTTAATCTTAAAAAGACATTTTTTACGTGGTAAAGCCACCCCGCAGTTATATTAGTAGTATAGTTGTAGACTGCCTCGTTGGTCTAGTGGTTGTACTAGTGCGACTGTTGATCATGAGGTCCTGGGTTCGATCCCGGGTCGAGCCAAAAATTAATTATTGAATTTTCCGTCAAAAAATTCTCAGTTGTTGCCCGGAGTCGGAAAGTAGGCGGTGTCTCACCCCCATGCTTCGGAAAGCACGTAAAGCCGTTGGTCCAGCGCCTGATCTCTCTCTGGTGGTGTCGGTTTACCGTCCCATCGGATTATGAGAGTGAGGGAATAGAGAGTGCACCTGTGCTTGCGCATACACTTGGGCCGATGGCTAGCCTCCGTTGAGGCAAGCCGCCGTTACCGGAATTTCGGTCTGGAGGACATTATAGTTGTAGCACAAATGGGTCGGTTCGACCGGGGAACGACCACGCTCTCACAGAATACCAGCGTCAAACAATAGCTTAATGCTGCTGTGTTTCGTATGGTGAGTGTAGAGAACTGGAAACCCTTTTTACTGGAAACGAGGCATTCCACCTAAGTCCTCATGAATGACAACGCATCTGCATTTTGATTCGCAAACGAGGATACATGTAGATGTCTATGGGCCACAGCAACCACTTAGGTGGACTGTGTTCTCGTTTGTCATCCTATCCCATATAAAAAAAAAAGACATTGACACCGTGTCTACTCGCATTCTGTTGCAGTAGTTAGAAAATTGTGGGAATAGAGGTGTGCCCCTTGACTCGCTTAAAAGTTACATGACTTGTAGAACTCAGGGGGTAAAAATAGGTTCACATGTAAGCCAAAAAACTAGTGTAACTTATTGCGTACTGCAGGGAAGCGTCTTGGGGCCCATCTTGTTTCTCAAATACATAAACTTACTTTGCAATATAAAGATCCCACATGCTAGCATATTCTCGTATGCTGACAACACTGCCAATGTATTTACAGGCGAATCCTTGAACAATTTAAAGATCAATATAGAGCACGGTTTGGTTGTGATTTCGCTATGGTTAAGTCTGACCTTACTAACGATTAATAGCAAAACAAGTTATATTTTATTTTCCATAAAAACATTCAGCCTGACTTTCCCCGCGATATTAAGATTCACAGCTGTCAGCCGCTATTTATCACAAATTGCAACTGCCTTACTATAACTGGACTAGTTTCTACAAAGTACCTTGGGTTCTTAGTAGACCAAAGACTTTCATGGTTGTCTCATGTCAAATTGGTTTCTGGCAGATTACGTGAATTAATGTGGATTTTTAAAACACTAAGGGATATTGTAAATAGTAATAAGATCTATGTTGCATCTATATTGACACAATCTATTCTGATTTATTTTATAATGATTAGGGTGGTGCTGTAAAAACTCATTTTACACAATTAGAGCGAACTCAAAGGGGTTTGTTAAAAATCATGTATTTCAAAACACGTCGGTTTACAACAAATTTATTGTATTTACATGCAGATTTATTGACAGTTCGTAAACTACATATTGCACGTATTTCTAAAAAAACATATGTCCTACAATATCGACAACAATAGTTTAACTAAAAGACGAAAAGATGGAGTCGCCACACTGAATTACACTAACACTAAATTTCTTCGCAATCAGTACAAAACATTTTGTCTCATTTAGATTAAAATTTATAAAATACTAGATATATATCTTTACTTATCGAAACTGTAAACAAAAACTCACTGAATGGCTGAAGACATTAGAATTTATTTAAGTAGAAAACCTATTAAAATTTTAATTTTTATATGAGAATATTTATGTGTAAATCACTCAGTCATTACACACATACACACATGATAAACCATCCCCTCTGCACAGTGTCTGTTTTTACTTTCTAAATTAAAAAAAATGTTGTTTACGCTCAGCGTTAAATTTAGTACTTGCCATGTACGAGTATAAGCGGTTTTTGCTTTATTAAATTTTATGAATATAGAATAGGGCCTTATTTCTGATACGGTTAAAAGGTATACCATTGTATATTACGTGTACTTGTTTTATTGTGTTTATGAATAAAACCTTTTTATTTGTATTATATGGCCGGCCCATTGCCACTTCAGCTTACTAATCCATTGGACCCATTTTTTTTAATGAGTACACATTAAAAAAAAACTACAGTTTCTATCTCCTCATTTGTTACCCTCTGTCGCCTCTTACGGCACTCGCGAGATGGTATGCGGTAATGGATATTCTTATACCGCTACTAACAGTAATGATGGTGTTTGCTGGGGGTGGCAAGAGTATGGGTGTGGGGTTCATCCCTGGAGACATTAATGTACTCATCGGAGCATCTATCTTCCCTCACCTTATGTATTAGAAACCAATTTTGGTTACGTTATTATTGGTTCCGCACCAATTTGGATTACGTTATTATTGGTTCCGCTCATATCATGGATAATATTTCGGCAACTTCTTATTGTTGCACCGACGCTATTGAACCATCCGAATTATTGGCTCGCAATTTTCGGGAAATAGAGGAGGGGAAAGTTCCGCTTATACTTAGCTCGGATAATAGATTATGCGAGGAGTCTAAAAACAAAACGTTAGAGTTTATTAGTACAGGAATGTGCTTTTGTTAGTTTAATGTAGCACGATTTTTGCGTAGTGGATTAAACTAATAAAAGCATATTCTCTTAGTGCGGCATGGGTACAGTACAGTAGTGCTGTTGTTCGGCGCTGCCCAGAACAAAAATACCACCTTCAGACCATACAAATACTTATTCGACCATACAAATACGGATTCGAACCTGCGGCTTTTTGCGCCCTACCTCTCAGACAGTAGATATTATTGCATTACTCTTATATAAGCTTTTGAGCTCGAAGTGAATCGTTTGAACCGGATGAGTTGCATGTCGACAATAAATATTTGGAGACCCACCGATAATGTACCGAAAGTGGAAAGAAAATTACAGGAATTGGTTACCGACAGGTTTTTCTAGAATACCCCCGATCTTGAAAATATGACAGGGGTTAGTGATAGCTCTGAAATCGGGATCGTGCACACGTACACAATACGAGATCAAAACAAATACTGGGCAAACAATTGGGATCTGTACCTCCTAGAGTCTGGACTCTAGTCTCTTTAACCTCTCAACGCCCTAGTGGTCTCATAAGACCGCGGCCATAGTCAGTCAAATCCCTAGCGGTTTCATGAGATCGCGCCCACCCACAGCACTTTAACCCATAAAACATGTATACATAGAGACTACTTTTCTATGAAGAAGTTTGGCATTATATAATTAATATGAAATACTCTATCCTCTAGTGCAATAACAAAACTGTTATCTTATGAATATTTATTTATAATCTACATTCATTTCGTACGCCATTTTCGTGTGAATGTTATTTTGTTGATTTTTGGATTTTTCTAGTGTTTTAGTATAGTGTTTTATTATAAATTGTAATGAAAGTTTTTGTGTGAATATAATTTATCTTTTTACGCAAATAATTTCGAGTGATACATATTTAAATATTTGTGATTTTCACGCCGCCGACATTCGCTTAGTATGTTTTTTTTAAATCAAAATACAAGAAAATATTTTGTAATGAAGTAAAACCTGACTTTTGTTTAGACCCCAAGATAGAGAATTTTGTATCGATTTTATAATGCTAAAGTTCTTCATAGAAAAGTAGTATCTAAATATAAGTTTTAATGGTCTTGAGTGATGTGGGTAGGTGCGGTCGCATGCGACCGCTCGGGATTTGCCGGCTGTATGCGACTACATGGGATTTTTAAGACGCTTGAAAGATTAAACTGATAAAAATGGACTAACCTGACATCTATAAGCGTGCGCCCGTCTTCTATTATAGTCTTGGACTCCTGATCACAAAGGTAGTAGTAAACACAGACGCCGCGCTGCCCCTCCTGATTTATGCAATCGGTATTTGTTCCTAGAACGAATGCAAAACCACCATCATCATCATCCATCGAATTCCTGCATGTCTTCTGGTTTTAAGACAAAATTGAAAAATAAAAATAATAGCCACAGGTTTTTCTTTTTCATATTTCATTACATGACTACTGGAATGGTCCAATAGTCACTTTACAGTCTCCGTTTACCAGGGCTATTGACGTACCGGACTACTACATAAAATATATGTTTATTAGAGTAGTGATAGAGCCATGCTGCAGCTAGGTATATTGGGGTACCTATTATCAAGAATGAGTCGGCTCGACCGAGGTTGGAACATCCTCTCACGGATTACCAGCGTAAAATAACATCTCAATGCTGTTGTGTTTCATATGGTGAGTGTGTAGAACCGAAGACCCTTTTCACTATAAACGAGGCATTCCATCTCAGACCTCAGGGGTGGCAACGCATCTGCATTTTGAGTCTTAATCGAGGATAGATGTAGATGTCTATTGGCCACCGCATCCACTTACGAAAGGTAAACTGTGTGCATTATTACTTTACTTACTACAACATTATTATTACACTGTAAAAGATCATATAAAGTGAAATGAAAGAATGCCATTTTTTCGTAAATAATAATCTAAGTATTTCTAAACCAAACTCACCACGAATTTCAGAATTAAGTAAAAAATTGTAATTCTAAAAAAAATTAAATTCTTAGATATTAAACTGTAATAATAGTTCAATAACATTACTTAATCAGAATATAGCTAGTTTATGTAAAAAAATGATATGGAATTATTTATTAGTGAGTTTAATGAAAAAAATATGGAGATAGATATATTATGTAATATATATATATATAAAACATAACATTTGTAAAAGAAGGTTCCGAAGGTAACATAAAATTATCAAATTATAAATTGGTGTCATCGTATTGCCGTAGAAATAGAAATAGAGGTGGGGCATGTATCTTGAGACGAAAGTCGTGGGAAGCAAAATCTCTGAGTATTCCAACCGATATAATCACTAAAATACATTTTGAGTATTGCGGTACTGAAATTGTGGGGATGAATGTTATAGTTTACATAATTTATCGAGTTCCAGATTATAAAATACCTTCAATAGGAATGTTCTTACACAAACTAGAAAATTTATTAAATTTAACAAATAATAGAAAATATATCATTTGGCATTGGAACCTTGATATCTTATATATAACACTAGAATCTTTAAAAAGTATTCTTACAAGTTTTAATTTTCGAACGCATATTGAGCAACCGACGAGAGGGAACTCTTTTTTAGATCAAATTGCCAGCAATGTAAAAGAGATACATGCAGAAATACTTAATTTAGGCCTTTCAGATCACGAAACAGCACAAACTGTAACACTTAGAGGCAATAAGCAAAAGTATTAGGAATAAGAATATTCCTGGTTTGAATACAAACGAGATTATAATGTTGATAATATGAAAAAGTTCAATGATTGTATTACCAGCCTCACTTTTTCTGAAGTTTTAGAATCCAATAAATTTGATGAAGTATTTAAAAGTTTTTACGACCTTTTCTGCATGTTTTACGATTTTTGTTTTCCCGTTATTAAAGTCAGAGTAAATAATAGACCTCGTAAATTAGGATGGATCACTAAAGGGTTAAGAATATCAAGTAAAAATAAACGACAATTATATTTAAAATATCGATTGTTAAAGACTAGTAAACTAACAAAAAGGCCCAATTTTCATAAATACAGTAAAGTTTTAAGAAAATATATCCATACTGCACAAAAAATTCATAACCATAAAGTAATATTAAACAGTAAAAATATAGGTAGAGCAACTTGGAATGCCATTTCTTCTACTGTATTTGACAAGATGCATAGTAATTATATCAATATGATTACAATAAATAATTGTACATATTATGATCCCCAATACATCTATAACTCCTATAACAATTATTTTAGCAACTAAACCGCCAAACAGAGGCCGAACCCCGACAATACTCACAAAAAGATTGATAGGAATTCTCGCACAATATATTTAAAACCCACCAATGGTATTGTAACTGTAACGCTCCCCCCTCTATTTAAATAAATATGTATGATATTAAATATATAACACATTATTTAATTTGACCCTTTTCAATAAAATTATATACATGTGACTAGGATTAATTAAATATGTTTTGATCTTTCTAAATGATCTTTCTAAAGGTTTAATAATAGGCCGTTTGTAATATTTTGGCGTGATCGTCTTAGTTAGGACCCTTATTTACGTTGTGTTTGTTTATATCTAAATATAAACAAACGCGCCTAAGTTGATGTCATGTAGTGTCAGGGACGAGAGCGGGGGGAGCTTTCCAGAAAATGACATTTCTAATCTTTCAACCGACAGCGCCATCTGGTGTCGAAACGAAGAACTAAGCTTCTAGAAGTCGACACTCGAACTTTCGACGCCTTGTCGATTAGTGCGCGAATGTTCTGGATGTTTCGGTGCTAATGTGTATTTATAGACGCTGCAAGGTGCGATCGGGGAAGTATTGAATTTGGCAAGACAAGCGAAGCTTCGGAGCGAAATAAAGTGAATCAGTGTGATTAATTATTAGTGTCTTTAAAGTTTTAATTAGTGTAAAGTGAATTAAAGTGTTAACTTTGGTAATTCTATCGGCAATTTTTATTGTCATGAACCCTAAGCTCGTAACAGTAACTTAGTTCTTTTAGGTGTCTTTTGGAAGAATGAATATTCACTAGAACAATTGAAAGCTGTTAGTAGTGCCTTACAAGCTAAGTGAACCCCGTTCACGAAGACAGGGCTCGAGAAAGGTTAAGAGCATAAATCGTCCATATTCCACTTGTATCAGGCTTACATTATTAATTTGTTATTAATTATCCGTTCCCGCTTGGAAAAGGCTCATAATATATCTATACAAAATACCCGATACAAGGGCTTCGCTCTGCTACATTTATTTAAAAAAAATGTAGGGCAGGCACATGGCTCCATACACGCCGCGCCGTGCGCGGTGAGCGCCAACCATTTTGATGTACTCCCCCCGAAGGAAACATTAATTCGGGAACTGGACCGTAGTCCACAGTAAAATAATTTGCGAACCAGTAAAAGAGGCTTGGCCCCTTGTTAGTGCGTAAGCACAAACATTGACCGAAGTCGCGCATGTCAATGCATATAAACGCCATACAGAATACGAACGAATCCAGCCACAGTGAATGTACGTCACACGGTTTAAGCAAATAGGCACACTGGCCGTAAACCCTCCGTGAGCGCCACCACCTGCCAGACCACCGCTCCTGCAGACGTGATGTAAGTGTATGGCATCACCACCAATTGTATGATCAGCACGGCTACCAGCCGCAGAGCGTGTCATGAGTCTACCGCTCACCTCAAGGGAATGGGGTCCCACGTTGTGCGGCTTTCGGCCGCAGTCTTGAGAGTCTCCTCAGATCCTCCCGCCAGCTACCACCCGCATGAGGTCGACACATATGCTCCACCAACCAATACAACGGCAGATATAGCCAAAAGGCAGTTATAAGATGTTAGTAATTATTTGCCATCAGACAGGTTTTGTGTCACTGACGTTGAATAAATGCATTTTCGATCATGTTTGTCTCACCCACCAACAAGTTGCCTTCAATCATTCAAAGGTGGGAAAGTTACAGAGATATGTTATTATGCAGCCTGCAGCCTGCAGCCCCGTAATAAAGGGACCCGACTTAAGCAAAGCTACTCAGGTGTGAGTCAAACTAAGACGCAGAGAGTGCCATTGAGAATAGCGTCCCACCAAACAACCATCGCAGAGACGCAATGCTGCAGAACGCAACAAGAATCAATACGACTATCGTCGGGCTTACACCATCCCAAGGTCCCCTATACAACCCAGTAGACATCACCACCCGCATACCTCCATCGACCAGAACCACAAGAGTCTGTCGAATCAGGCGCAGCACACCCGCAGATCCATCACAAGACACAATACCGCAAGAAGCAGTAAGCATCAATGCAACTATCATACGGATGGCGCCCCCTGACAACACACCCACAAGATCCCTATCGACTTTGGTAACAAAGTTTGTATTGTTGTTAACTAAAAAATATCACCAACGTATCATAGTAGCACGCTACTAAGACGCCAATGAACAAAACTCCACGTATCATAGCGCTAATGCACTAAGACATGAAGTTGAGTATGCCCGTTACACTTAAAAGTGCTACCAAACACACTCATCCCAATCCGAAAGATAGACGACGCATCGCTATGCGCTACGACGCCGCCCACAAACGGTATGGGTGTGCGATGTTCACGGGAAAGCCGTATTGCTAAAACAAACCCGCTTACCACCAGCACTAAGATGATATGTCTAGGACACATCGGTTAGCGAGTCCAAGTTTACCTCGGACCAATTGCTCGTGAAGCAGCATACACGCTACCATAATATTCCTTTTCAAGTCCCTAATAAGGACTAGTCATTTTGCTACAGTACTAGGAGCAGTCGGTCACCCGATCACCCCATACAATGCTTATGCATCAAGGAGACCGTCTATAATAATGTTTTTGTATCATAGACCTTACTTTCATAAGTCATTAATATATAGGACTTCAACCCACGATTCTACTATTGTAATGCAAATTCATCATGGAGACCTTCTATGGCATTGCTTTTGTATCATTGAGTTTATTATCATAAGTCCCTAATATAGTCATTGTGCTACAGTACTTCAAGCAGTCGGGCTCCCGACCACCCCATATATATGTATAACTGCAGGTATGTATCTCCGGCAGCTCCTCCATACAAGACATCTATACATGAACACCTTCCACAACTTAGGAAAATTTTCTTTTATACATGAACTCCTTCCACAACTTGGAAAATTTTCTTTTATACATGAACTCCTTCCATAACTTTGACAATTTTCAACAAATTTTCTAATTATCTTATAAATATTATTTATCTTTATTTTTATAATATTTTCGACTTGTATTTCTATTATTTATCTTATTTTAAATATTTTTTCAAGTTTTTAAATAAATTTATTTATTATGAAAGACAATATTTTGCCTTTAATTTACTATGTTATTGTATACATTAGACATGTCTGAAATGTGTTTATATTAACTTTATGTTTATTAATGTACTTTTATTGCTTAATATATATATATATATATATATATATATATATATATATATATATATATTAACACTATTTTTGATGCCCCTTTATATTGATTTTAATTATTAATAATACTATTGGGCCGTCACAATATGTATAGCCCTAGCTCATATTATTAACTTGTCTTTTGAAGAAGGTGTGTTTCTAGTTGATCTCAAATTATTTATAGTTCATCTTTTGTATAAAAAGGGAGATAAACAAGATATAGGCCTATCACTTTGGTTCCGGTGTTGTCAAAAGTTTTTGAGAAAGCTATGCTTAAAAGGCTTAATGATTTTATAAGTTATTGTGACATATTACAACCTGAACAATTTGGCTTTCGTAAAGATAGTTATACTTCTCTTGCTTATTTTGAATTTATAAAATATGTAACTGAATGTATAAATAATAATACCACTGTCACTGTTTCTTGACATGAGTTGTGCCTTTGACTTTGTAAATCATGATAAACTCCTCCATAAACTAGAATCATACGGAATTAGAGAGTACGCGTATGCATCGCTTGAATACATTTAAAAAGTAGAAGACAGGGTACAGAGATAACAAAAAGGACACAAAAAATAACATTTTAATTAAAGAAACTCATCGTTCCCAATTATTATTTAAAAAAACAGGCATACCACAGGGTAATATACTCGGTCCTTTATTATTTTTATTGTATGTTAATGACCTTCTCGATGCCACTTCACACAAATGTATCCTTTTTGCAGACGATACTACTATAATTGTTAAAAGTGATGATAATAATTCATTGGATTCGCTTACAAATACGGCTATAACCAACATCATAGAATGGTTGTAGGCTCACGATTTTTGGGTCCATCTACAAAAAACGAAATTTATGCAATTAAGATCATATATGTCATCTAAACCACACTTTAATATTCTATACGACAGTAAAAAAAATTGATGAAGCAAATAACTTTAAATTTTTGGGAGTAAATATTGATACATATCTGAACTGGAAGGAGCATATTGATATCGTTTGTAAATTTTTGTTTTTGTTTAAATATGGTCTCGGCGTTCTGGGAACCTGGGGGCACTTTTGTTCACGATGATTCGTGCCTTAAGCAACATTTATGTATTTAGACAATTGTAAACCTTACTTTAAAAATATAATATTCTTCTATTACCTTGTTTATATATCAGAGAAGCCTGTCTTTTTGTCCAATCATTCCCTAAGTATTCGAGATAAGGAGTAAATGTGCAGACTTAATATATCAACCTCCCTGTAATAAGATATGTATAAGAAAAATGTATATAACATGAGCATATTGTTATATAACACATTACTCATGAATTTAAAAGAAAAAGAAGGAGCCTCTATCAAAAATAATTTGACGAAATGGTTATTGGAAAATTGTTTCTATAGTCTAAAAGAATATTTAGATTGGAAAAATTAGTTAAATGACTTATGTGCTTCACTTATATATATTTTTTGTATTAAATATTTGCACGTCTGCGAGCAGAATAAGCATATGCACATTATAATTATTTAATTAAGATCCTGTCAACTGCGTTTCATGCGAATAAAGACTTTGACTTTGACTTTGAAAAAAAATATTGAAAGTCAGGAGATCTTTTCGGACATTCTCACAGTCGAATCTTAAGACACCCACGGGATACCATTTCACATGCATACACTTGCGAATCCACGCAAGAGCACAAATTCCAATTGAGTACCCGGATGACCGAGCCTTGCTCGGTTTTTATTTTGAAATTACATTTAGATACAAATTACATACTGATGAATAATATTTTTTGATCTTATTGACATAATAGAAAAAACTGAACTGTTTATTTGAATAAAAAATCATGAGTGCAATTAGTTTAATTAAAATGTTCGTATTTTTAAAAAATACTAAAAAAGGGCTCGAAATAATAGATTTACTCAAAAAAAGGAAACTTTAAAAAAAAAGGAACAAAACCGGACCGATGACGGGACGCGAACCAAGGCATTTAGATTTCGCCGCCGCTCGATAACCACTTGAGCTATTATCTGAACGTCAAAATTTACCTTCTTATATTGTGGCAGTTTTTCATTGCCTGAAAAGACGGACAAAAAAACATTTTCTAAAAATAAATCCTAGCTAGATCGATTTATTGCCCCCGAAACTACCTGGACACTAAATTTTATGAAAATCGTTGGAGCCGTTTCCGAGATTCCGATTATATATATACATATATACAAGAATTGTTCGTTTAAAGGTATAGGATAAGAAATGGATGCTGTGCTACACAGATACATCTGCTATCCATTAATAATCAAAATGCTGATGTTACAGCTGAGGACTAACACGGAATGCCTCGTTGCCAGTAAAAGGGTCTCGGTTACTCACTGACCATACGAAACATAACAGCATTATGCTGGTACCCTTCTCCGGCCGAGCTGAGCACTTACCATATACCAGTGAGAGTATTTCTTTGATGTTCTTACTCTTTTTAACCGTGTAGTGCGGTATAAAACCATCCACTACCCTATATTATCCCGTTGGTTTCATAAGAGGTGACAAAGGGAAACTTGAATATCAGATGGGTAACAGCATTTTCCCGATAACAATTCTAAATAATAAAAAGCTAAACCGCTTGCCAAGCATGACAAATATGGCAAAATCCCCCCAATTAAGCAATATATGGGCCTATGGTCAACAGTGAACTTTTAAAGACTGTAATGGTAATGGATTGTTTTTTTAAAAATGTTTTGGTGGAATTAGAAAGGGCGTTAACCTAAGGAATATTAGATGTAAAAAAAAAATGTTAATAATGCACATACCTTTAGGCCGCGTGATCTCTGACCTCGAACCTCGACCAGAAACTGAAAAGAATAAAAAACAAATTAATCTCATGGAACTGTAAGATACACTAGCTGTCGACGTCTATTTAACAATATAAGATATGCTTAAAGATCTCTTTTTTCACTTAATGATAATAGAAAGAGGCAGGAATAGAGATAAATTATATTTAACACATTCCGCGTCCCGTGACCCACATATTGTCCACTGCTATTGTCTTACTATTGTGTCTAAAAATCTGACAGTGAGTGTAAATCTACGTAAATAAAATTTAAGTGCCTGTCTGTCTGATTATTTGTTCCGGCTAATCTCTAAAACAGGCTGGACTGATTTCGACGGGACTTTCACTGACAGATAGCTGATGTTATAGTGAGTAAATTAGGCTACTTTTAATTTAGAAAAGGAATTAAGGTTCCGCGCAAATAAACCCCCATTAAATCTAATCGTAATAGATTTCGGGCAGCAGCAAGGTGTAACCAATACAACTAAGCGGTAAAGTCCGAATATCTTTGTACCCGTACGTGAAAAGAAAAATTTATACTCTTTTTTTGTAGATTGCGCGCACGGAAGAGTGTGAGAATTGGCCAAGTAAAATTTTATATGAAAAATAAGTGCAGCTAGACAAAATTTGTATATAATGTGTATGACAAACACATAGAATTTAAGTTATAATTGAAAATTTAAACGGCTGAACCGATTTTGATAAAACATATCTAAGAACCACCCTTAGAAAAACTGCTTTTAAATAAAATAAAAAAATGCGCATCCAAATCGGTTTACCCGTTTAAGAGCTACGGTGCCCACGTAGCGGTCAAATTTATAACACCCATCTTTTTCGTCAGGGTTTAAAAATAATTAACATTAGCGGCGCTGTCGTCGCACCACAAGTGAAACGCAAGTATTGCGTTATATATAATCGTTGAAACACTTTGTGTGCTTAATACCTTGCATGGTGGGAGATCTCTCTTTTTGTCTTCACGGCCAAACGTTTATTGTTTATGCTTATACTGCCAATGTCAAATGTCAAACGGTGTAGTCTGTGCTCAAACATTGGTACAGAGTAGGGACTGTCGCCAAAGAATTTTAATAGCAAAATTTCATCAGAAAGAAGTTGGAACCTACCCAGCTCCCGGGCAGAACAGGAGAGTACAGTCACGTCGGATTACAGTTCTTGCGTGCATGCGCATGAATTATAACCCTGTTCTTTGAAGATGGGTAATCTCCATTAAAACTGGCCGCTGTGACCGAGCAAGTTGGTTACCCGGCGCATTGCTACCGCAAAACAAATAATAGCCCACTATTGTTTGTTTTGCGGCAACAACGAAGACAAAATACAACGAAAATAGGCAGCAAGAATAAAACAATATAACTCTTCATTTAAAATGATATTCCCAAATATGTTTTAAATGAAAAGTTATATTGTTTTATTGAATGAGAATATATTCTGAAGTTAGTATATATAGCTTTCAAAAAAATTTTACAGTACGATACGATGCCTATAACCTTCGCGCAAGTGCAAGCAATAAGTTGATAAAGTTTTAGCAATCTGATAAACGGTATGGCAGCGTATAAAATACGAACAAACAAACATTAATTTTCATATATTAGAAAGATTAATGTTACCGGTGTCAGTTTGATCAAGAACTGGATCTAGGTTGAGTTCTTCGTCGGTGGTAGTTTTCTGTTGTGGTTCGTTAGAGGTTATAGCCTGGAGCATGGCTGCCATCTCGTCGTCTGACTGGCACGCTCCTAACACCATCAGCGTCGATATGACAGCGATTACCAAAATTGTATACCTAGGGTTGTAAAAAGGATTTGAAATAAACGCTCCTTTAATAGTGGCCTCGGCCACGGCGGCACGTCTCGACGGAGACTAGCCATCCGCGCAGGACGGGATTATAAAACTCAAGTGCGCGCAAGCACAGCACTCTCTATTCCTTCACCCTCACTCGGATGTGACGGTAAGTCTGAGAGAGTTCAGACGCAACACAAACAGCTTTACTTGCTTTCCAAGATACGGAGGTGAAATACAGACAGAAAAAACCCAATAATTGATTTTGGTCCTACCCCAGGATTCGAACCCTATCAATAGACCAACGAGGCAGTTAAAAACGCCTACTAGATAGTGTTGATTCAACAAGTTTGTCCATTTTCCTTACCTTTCTCCTACATTTATTCAATACAGTCCATCAAATGTTTACTAATGAACATGAACCTTGCCTCGGGTGCTCGCGGGTGGGTCCGCAACCGCAGCTTTTATTAATATTTCGTTCATATGAGAAAGATGATGTTGCCCAGCTCATATTACAGACTCCCTCTTTCGCCTCCTTCGACACCCACAGGATAATATGGAGTTTTTTCTTCGTGGACAACCGTTGTTTTCCCCACCACAATCGCGGAAGATAGGGCGAGCGCCCCGGCATACCAGCAATTCTCTTACACCGCAACTCCACCTCGGCTTCACGGTTGGGATGAAAGGCAACCCTCCCGATGTAGTCCACTGACGCGCATATTTTTTATAGAGATTTTTTTAGTAAACGAGCATAAGGCTCACCTGATATTAAGTGACAACCGCCGCCCAGTAACAAATACAACACCAGGAGAATTGCGGGGGCGTTGCCGGCCTTTTAGAAAGGAGTTAGCTCTTTTCTTGAATATCCCTAAGTCGTATCACATCTGCCATCACATCACCATTTATGTTACTAATTTTCCGATTAGAAAAAAGACTTTTTTTCTTGCTTGCTTTCTATCTGTTCGTGAAGTTTCCTCAAAATTGGTTCAGTCATTCCGAAGATCGGCCCGATCAGAGAGACAATTTTTTTACAATTGGTTATTTATATCTTAATAGTATGCAACTAATCGCCTGAGCTTCATACAAGTCAGTTATTTTTATTTTACAAAGAGACACTTTAATTTTATTTATACGAAGTAGAGCCACGCTGCAGTTATATTACGGTTGTAACATGAATGTGTCGACTCGACCGGGTAGGACCGCGCTCTAACATAATACCAATGTAAAATAGCAGTATAATGCTGCTGTGTTTCGTATAATGAGTGTAGAGAACCGGAGACATGTTTTACTGGTAAAGAGGCATTCCATTCTGACAAGGTATCTGCATTTTGATTCTTATACGATGATAATAAATAGATAAATATGTTTCAGTGGCTTCACTATTTGAAGTTGGCTGCAAGTGTCGTGAGACCCCTTTGGCCACATTAATCCATTATTTATAAATGTTAAAAATAAAATTTGAGCTTACAAAAAAAAACAAATTTGCAGCCACTGGTTAAGAATACCGTTTAAGATTCGTGTTGTTAGATTTCGACCTCAACACCAAACAAAACAAGAAACAAAATAACAAGTATTTGAAATCATTTAAATCAAACTCCCAAGTTTACTTACATATATAGAAGTATAATTAATTAATAGTCTGAGATAAGCTTACCTCATTTCGCTTTGATATGAGTATCACAGATAAAAAATATGCACTAAACCGGCGCCGTCCCGCGTCAGTGTTGACGCTCGCACTGCCCCTACATAAGGAAAACAACAGGTTTATAATAAAACTAATACTTATAAATATCGCTGGGTATTCACGCGGAGATTTATCATTTTATCATTATAATGTCAACAACTTACTTAAAGAAAGAAAATTTATTAATTTATATTTGATTCAACTAACTTTTTTTAAATTGCCGTTTCATCATATAGCTGATGTGAAGCACCGACGCTCCGGGAAGTCTGTAGTCTGTGAAAATGTTCAAGATCGTCCCCACCATTACATCAGATCTGAACAACCACAAATCCTCGCAAAAGAACACCGATCACTACCAAGGATGATACGCGAGGCTAATGAATTTAAAAAAAAACATCCTAATTTCAATAGAGAAGATGTATGAGTGCTGTGGGATCTTATAATTATTAAAATTAAATCCAAACCCAAGCATACCACTTCAGAACTTCAAGATACTGTAAGCTCTTTCGGCGGATCAAAAATTAATATTCAAAAATTGAAGGTAGCCCGGCTAACTATGACATTGGGACGTCAAACATCTCAGTCCCTTCCGTGCCCATGGGTGATGTAGACCACCCGAGACGTTGGGAATTAAAAATAAGTTAATTAAACGCGATAAAATCCATATAAGTGGTTTCATTCAAGAATTAATTGTTAGAAAATAAAAGGACCACAAACTAAGTACGTTACCTAGATAACTAGGTAGGTTACCTAGATAGAACAGAGATAGCAACACCGTACATACAAATCCGAAATCTAAGAATTATTGTAAAAAAGAAAGTTTAATCGAGTTTGCCACAGTAGCCACGCTTAGAATGCGGGCTGGCAACCACAGATAATGTTAGTCGTTATTATGAACACGCTGCTGGCCAGCTCCTGATGTGTTTCCTCCTGACGCTTCTTACGACACCCACGGGATCATATGAGGTAGCGGATGTTCTAGTACCGCAACTGCACGGCAATATCCTCCTATGAAGCAGTCTATAGTAGCAGGTTTGTGTTAAATTTCATCATTTAAATGTGACGAAGTGAATAATGCTACGTCGAAATTAGTGCATTGACTTAACGTTAATAATCTACATTTAAACGGCAATACAACTAAATGCATTAAGTTTACAACAACAACAAATGTTAGTAATCCGAGTACCAATGTGTTTTTAAATGGGGAAGAACTGAGTCCTGTTGAGTCCTCTGTTTTTCTTGGCATCACTCTCAACGCTGAGCTTCAGCGGGGCCCCCATATATCTAAACTAGCAAGCAGACTAAGCTCTGCAGCCTATGCTGTAAAAAAGACACGAGATCTCACTAGTGTCGATACAGCTAGATTAGTTTGTTTTAGTTATTTCCATAGCATAATATCATATGGAATTTTGCTATGGGGGAATGCGACTGATTTAGAAACTATTTTTGTTTTGCAGAAGAGGGCTATTAGAGCTATTTACAATCTTAAAGTGAGAAAGTCCCTTAGAGACAAATTTAAAGAAATAAATATATTAACTTTGGCCATGTACATCTATGAAAATTTGATGTATGTTCACAAAAATAAAGGTAGTTTTAGTAAAACAGTGACATACTCTCTGTAAACACTAGGAACAAACACAAGCTGGTGCTACCAGTTTCTCGACTCCACAGAGTCAGTAATTCATTCTTTCATATACGCTACTACAACAAAGTCTCAGAAAATATACAAGGTCTCTCTATTACCAAGTTTAAATATTTAATTAGACAAAAACTGTATAAAAAGGTGTTGGCGATGCGTCTATAAGAATATTTCAATTTATTAGTTAACCGATTACGAACAGCTTCTAAAAACAAATTATCGAACAATAATATTCTAATAAGAAAACACTTAGTTGAATCTTAAAGAAATATCGAATTAATAATTTGAAGGTCTTGGGTTCGATTCCCAGGCCGGACTAGTTTGTCGTTTTCTTAGTAATATTTTCTTAATAAATTCATATAGGGAATTTTTAAGATATAAATTATGTTTCCGGGTTCAGTTCCCCGGTTGAAATCACCTTTCCAATAATATTGTTAATTTAAAGGAATATTAAAATAAAGTTAGAGACCAGGATTTGTTCCCCGGTCGAAATGATCACTTTGTGTATAAATAGAATTAATGGAAATTAATTGCATGAGTATTATCTGAATAGGAATATGATCTCCTTTTAATAATAAAATGCAGTAATTTGCTCAATCGACCTTTTTATTTCTAATTTTTTACAAACGATGACAGATACAACTGTTTTTGTTTTAAAAACACGGCTATGTATATATATAAAACCTACACGGCTTACGAACTAATATTGGCATTAGAACTGCTAATATAATTTGACAGGCGCTTCAACATGCCCCCCGGCGTTGAAAGTCTACCTTTCAACCAGATTCTTCAGGTTCAGGAAGCGGACAAATTTTGCTAAATGATCGGCGAACTATACCAGTCGATGTTTTAATATCCGCCACCCTTGATACGCCGTCCGAGCCTGGATGGACTGCGACGATGCGACCCGTCTTCCACTTTAATGGCGATGAATTCTCCTCTTTTAGGAGTACCAGTGAATTTAACTTCAAAGATCCTTTACAGGAACGCCATTTCATCCGCAGTTGAAGCTCTGATATAAATTCTTTGCTCCATCTAGCCCAAAAATGTTGACGTAATTGTTCTCTTCGTTGAAATCGGGTTAGAGAGCTTACGGAATGATCTTTATAGTCTGGTGTCGGCAAGGAAATCAAGGGGCGCCCAATCAAAAAATGACCGGGCGTTAGTGGTAGCAAGTCTTCAGGATTCGTTGACAAAGGTACTCACACCTTTTGTGGGTCACATAATCCACCCACACTTACAGAAACAGCCGGCTTAGGGCCTAGCTTTTTTGTGTGTTTCCAGAACTTTCCAAAACTTTTTGATTTGTGTTGAGAAGCCAAAATGTCTAATTTTATTTGTTCTTTGTGTTTAAAAAATTTACGTGACTCACACATATACTGATATAGACGACCGGCTCTTGGCCGACCATGCCAAACCCAGTTAAGAAAAGCCTGCCTAGCTGTCTCGTGCGCACCCTTCACAAACTTGTTGCAGCCAGCAACACAACGCTTCTTCTTTTTAATATTCGGTGCAGCACAACTAAACTCAGCAGCCTCCCTAAGTACGTTTACAATTTTATTGTAAAGATTATCAATGACCATTCTGTGCTCAATATTAGAACACATTTTATCACAGCATGCGCTTAACTCCTCGGGAAAGTCAATATCACGTAATAATTCTGTACACTTCCTACGGTATAACTCTACTTGATACTGATCTCTCTGCCCCCAAATAACCTTATTTGTAACTGGAGTCTGGGTCTGGAGTTAAGTATAGCCTCAATTTGTAATAATGTGGTATTTAGTTCCTCGTAAGTCAAATTACAATTGCCCAGCACTCTAACTAAATAATATTTAATGCATTTGACACCAGCCTCCGCAAGCCCAGCAAAATGGGGAGAATAAGGTGGTATAAAATGGAAATTAATTCCTTAATTTGCCATTAAGGGGGATAAGTCGCTCGCGTCCGTAGGCTCTGACCACCTATTCCTAGGCCCACCCTACACGTGTCCCCCGGGTGGTGCTAAATGAGCGACAAGCCGATAGCACAGACTCGGCTCCACGCCCTGGTAGAGGCGTAAAATATACCACCCTTTATCCGCACCATGAGGAACAATATAATAGAAATGGCCCCGAGTTCCCGGCGCCCCTTTAATGGGGCAGGGGTGCGAAGAATCTCCGGGAGGAAAACCGGCGACGAGGTTCGCCACCCGTCACGTTCTGTCTCCCGGAGAGGCGAAAAGTGGATTGCAGAGGTCCGTCTGGCTACGTTGAATGTATGTGGGGCAATGAATGATAAAATGGATGAAGTATGCGATATGATGAATGATAGAGGAATAGATGTGTTATGTGTAAATGAGACGAAAAGGAAGGGAAAGGATGTCACTACACATGGCATGTATACCGCATACTGGTCTGGTGTAGACGAGATCGAGCCGGCATGCCAGGGAGTAAGTATCATCCTTTCAGAAAGAATGGGCCAATGTGTGAAAGAGTATGAATGTGTAAGCCCAAGACTGCTGTGGATACGAATGAAAGTGGGCTTAAAGAAGTTGTTTGTGTTAGGGGTCTACGCCCCAGACATGTCTAAGCCCACTTATATCCGAGAGCAGTTTTGGGAAATGGTAAGGATGGTGTTAATGGAGTGTAAGGGAAATGAAAATATTATTATGCTAGGAGATTTTAATGGAAGGGTTGGGGTGAGGAGGCTTGGTTATGAAAGGATATTGGGAACGTTTGGTGATGAAAGTATAAATGAGAATGGTGAAAGTCTCCTCACCGTATGTATGGAAAAGAATCTTTTTGTGACGAACACTTGCTTTCGCCACAAGAGGATTCACATGTATACTTGGGAAAGAGGTGACGATAGAAGCATGATAGATTTAATAATTGTGGATGAAAGATTGAGGGGCGCAGTTGTAGATACAAGGGTTTACCGGGGTTCTAACGTAGGAACGGATCATTATTTGGTTCTATGCCGAATTAATGGTCTATTCAGGCGTTGGCGCCATCGGTCATCTGTGTCTACCACTGCGTTACAGCGTATTAGAACAGAAAGGTTACAAGATGAAGGTGAGAAAAAGAAGTTCAAATGTAGACTGAAAGAAAATATAAGTGGTTTGGATGAATTATGTATGAAGGAGTTAGACTTGGAGAATGTATGGCAAAATGTAAAGAAAGGTTTAGTGGATGCAGCTACCGAAGTATGTGGTGTTAGTGAGAGGAAGAATGAAAGGAAAAATAATACGTTATGGTGGGATGATGAGGTACGTATGGAAGTTGAAGCAAAGAAGAGAGCATGGCTAGATTTACTAGCAACAAAGGCTGGTAATTCTAGCGGTACGAATGATGATAT